CCAATCAAGGTGATCTCGGAAGTAGTATCCAACCCAATAATCTCTTTCTCTTCATCCAAAATCGCGTTTCCATACTGTGGGAAATTTCAACCATTGTTTGCATGAAACCACCTGAGAATACTGAGTCACTCAATAAATCTATTATCTTCAGATGGGCTTTTGCAAACACTTTACAAAAGTGACTTCTTCGAAGCCACTTCCTGTATTAAATCATTTCACCTATGGTCAAAAGTGTACATTCTTGTGCTCTCTCAGACTTCAGTCATCATTATTTTACTCTCCTTTCACTCCCATCATTAGAACCCATCACAGTTTCGGAATTCTTGCATTTCATTTTGACAAACGTTGTCAACTCCAGCTGCAACGTCTAAGTTCTACACACTTTAAATGCGCATCAGAGTGAGATTGGTATAGAAGCTCCTATGTGATAAGCTAATCATTACAAATAACTCCATATACTTGTGATGCTTGACATTAATCTTGAAAATACCTGAATTATGGAAATATCGCCATCATCTGTAACTAGATTCTGCTCACTTACACTCTTATTTATTGAAGTACAATTCATCTCATGCAACTGTAATTTAATGCACGAAATGTTTACTGGGACTTATTCCACGATTATATTGATCTTCTCCGTATTCTTTGTGTAGTGATGTTAAATCCTATTAGCATATGTATTTTCTTGATTACGTTGACATAGCATTTTGACATATGGTTATTATTTGCATTCGACGAGGCATTGCAAAGTTCGTGTAATTGTCCACATCTACGTACCTGAATATAGTGAGGTTGCAGTTCCTAGCATTCTTGGCTCATTGGTGGTTGAGTGAGAGAGAGGTGGGCGACTGTTATTTGGCAAGCGAAGAGCAGTACCTGATTTCATGACCCATGTGAGTTGAGAGAAGAGGTGGATGAAAAGCAAGATGACAGTCCTATCTTACCCATCTCACTCCTTATGAATCTTCGCACTATGGCCTATCTTCCTGACACCTGGATCGCATAACGACTTTTCTTTCTGTATACCCATTAACTATAATGTCTCATTTTCTCCACGCATCTCACAACTCCTCATTCCATCTCCATTCACATCTTGAGTCTTACAAGTCAACCAGCAATGCCCACTTTAACTAATTTTCACATTAGTAATATCCAAACATAGGGAGTAAATTTAATACCCTGACCAGTGACCTCCCTAATGCCGTAAATGGAGTGAAACAAGACGTTAAAGCAAAACTGCCACTAGAGATATATGAAGAGACGACATGGCGCTGAATCTAATTGTGATAAATCGCAAAATCGTAATCGAAACACCAATGAGCTTAATTTGACCAATTCATGAAGGTCATTTCAGATAAAGTTTGTGTGAAAAGAAGTAGGTCTTACTGCATGTGATAAGTAATTTATTAAACAATTAGTTGATTCATTTATTCAGACATTCATTAATTCACTCGGTTGAGTGATAAAAAGAGCAGTGAAGATGAGTGGCTGAGTTAATGGAAGGGATGGTGGTGATGGTGGTGATGGTGACATCGTGGGAATTGGGGAACGAGACGGAAACGAGTCTGGCAGTATTGGATGCAGTAGATGTTCACTTTGCATGTCTCCACGCACTTCTCGTAGGTTGGCGCGCAAGTTGGGAAGTGTGTGGGCATTTGGCACTCGGCAAGTTGAGGTTGCACACAGCATGTGAAAGTGGGGTAGTACTTGCAGAAGCATCGTTGGTATGAGTGGTGTTTGATGATTTGCTGCCCTTGCTGGTAGCTCTGTTCATAGTGTGCTGAGGCAAGAATTGCGAGAGCGAGAAGAGTGAGGGCAAACAGACAATTGCGAGACATCTTTATTTTCCTCGATTTCAATGCCTCACCTTTCACATCCAACTCTTTATATACCAACGACTTCAGTGTTGTGAGGTCATAGAACGACTTCGTTACACTGAGTGCGCATTCAACGTCTCTTGCATTATTTCATCTATGTACTCTATTTTGCACTCTTAACAACTTGCGTTCACGTGTTTTTCGATTTCCCATCAAAGCAATGTTTCTATTCAAAATATGTGAAATGATTGAGACTACAATCTTTAATTTGCTGTCAAATATTGTCATTTCTAATCTTAAATTCATTTGTCTTCTGCACAGGATCTTGCGTTCCTGCCAACTGTCTGTTGCTTCTAATGTCCAACCTCAATAGTTATAACTTGTTAATAGGGCAATGATTGCGATATTTGCAATTACTTTCTTCCCAATTAATTCATATTTATTTTTTATTGGTGTCTGCCAACAGTCTATATGGGGGCACACCTGCATTTAACAAATCATCTGGTTAAGTATGTGAGATTACTGTTTTCACTCTGTAACTTGGCTCAACTTCATCAATAACTATGTGCAACTACAATTTATAGACAGTGAGAAGCCTACTGTTTTGGTGGAGGGATCAAAGCCTATCAAACGATCTCAGCCACATTGAAATACAGCGTCTAGTGGAGTGAGGCAAAGTAGAAGAGAAAAGAAGAATGTGAGAAGCAGTGGAATCATTGCACCTCTAGTCAGGGTTACACTTTTCTTCGGCACAGAAGCTTGCGTTCTAGCCAACTGTCAGTTACTTCAAATGGCCAATTGCAATAGTTTTTTCTGGTCAATATGCAATGATTTCGATATTTGCAATTAGTTTTCTCTCAACTCATCCTCATTTGTTGCCATTTGTTGAAGTCGGTTCATATGTCACATGGAGCCCAGCCTTCCTACAAATCATCTGGCTAAGCGTGTTGGACCACTGTTGACATACTGCAACTCAACACACCTTCATCGATGACTATGAGTTACTTCGATTTATGAACAGTGAGAAGCATGATGTTTTGGTGGAATGATCGCAGTCTCTCAAACGATCTCACCCACATGGGAGTACATCGTCTAGCAGAGTGAAGCAAAGTAGGAGAGAAAAGGAGAAGGCGAGATGCATTGGAATCATTGCACCATAGATCACTATCGAATGAGTTGGAAAGTCAACGTAGTGACTAATTTGTGATTGATATGAATGAGGAGTTTGGGTACAGAATGTATGTTTCATATTTAGTGCATAAAATATTTGTTCAGTATCCGGATGACGAACTCCTGAGTGCAAAATGAAAACAAAATCGAAGCTTCTTATCAACAGATATTATGAATCCATCCAAATTTGCACGATTGCTTATTGACAGCATAATCTGAATACCCATTGTGCGTGTAAGACTGGTGTGAGGTTAGAGACCATCGCGAGTGTTGATGGCTTGAAACAAGATGGGCTTCCAATTCACATTCAACTAGAAGATAAGAGGCATATAAATCTGGCTATGTGAAAAATGTAAGTGAGTTGATAGTTGAGTCTTGATTCCCTTACATCAGCAAACGATTTTTTCAAAATGAACCTGATGATCTGCTCTTCAACACCCTTTAGCCCACCTAGTAAATGAAGATCCAGAGGATCAAGGTGTAGCTCCCTTGATGCAGGTCATTTTATGAAAATTGGCTTGTCAAATATTCCACTTGAGAAGCAAGTTCATGTTAATAGCCTAAAGTGTCAACGAGAGCCCTTCATGCATTGTGATCTCTCGGTTTTAACAAACAGACCATCGATCACCATTTCATACCAATCAAGGTGATCTCAAAAGTAGTATCCAACCCAATAATCTCTTTCTCTTCATCCAAAATCGCGTTTACATACTGTGGGAAATTTCAACCATTGTTTTCATGAAACCACCTGAGAATACTGAGTCACTCAATAAATCTATTATCTTCAGATGGGCTTTTGCAAACACTTTACAAAAGTGACTTCTTCGAAGCCACTTCCTGTATTAAATCATTTCACCTATGGTCAAAAGTGTACATTCTTGTGCTCTCTCAGACTTCAGTCATCATTATTTTACTCTCCTTTCACTCCCATCATTAGAACCCATCACAGTTTCGGAATTCTTGCATTTCATTTTGACAAACGTTGTCAACTCCAGCTGCAACGTCTAAGTTCTACACACTTTAAATGCGCATCAGAGTGAGATTGGTATAGAAGCTCCTATGTGATAAGCTAATCATTACAAATAACTCCATATACTTGTGATGCTTGACATTAATCTTGAAAATACCTGAATTATGGAAATATCGCCATCATCTGTAACTAGATTCTGCTCACTTACACTCTTATTTATTGAAGTACAATTCATCTCATGCAACTGTAATTTAATGCAGGAAATGTTTGCTTTGACTAAACTCACGTTCGTTTTAATCTTAACCGTATTCTTCATAGAATATTGTCAACTTCTACAAACATATGTATATTATTGATTCTGTTCACATAGTATTGTGACATATTGTCAATATTTGTATTGGCCGAGCCATTTCAGATTTCCTCCAATTTGTCCACATCNGTTGGTTGAGTGAGAGAGAGGTGGGCGACTGTTATTTGGCAAGCGAAGAGGAGTATCTGATTTCATGACCCATG